CCGTACCCACTGTATATGGTGCATATATTTAGCAAAATGCTCCTCGCTACAGTTTATTTTTCTGGCTGACTATTGAGTTTGTTTACCAAATATGCCTTCTGAGGTAAATGTGATGTTACATGAATTGTATACAAGTTGTTAAATTGACGTCTTTGTGCGGCTGAAACACTGATTGAGCGATTACATGAGACAGGATACGGATTGTAAAGTTGTATTCTTTCTTTTAACTTACCTTCAGATGTTTAGTCATGTTTATTTTGTGCTGAAACTGGTATTAATGTGGAGGAGATTATTAGTTCATGTGCGCCTCGTGCTGCTGTTGAACTGAGGCGCTACAGCGATCTTCCACTCCACATCAAACAGCGCCAAAACGGCATTTATTGTTTGAATACTGCAATACAATGGACATAAATTGAAATCTGAGACCGTTTCATATTAAAAGTACCAACGCACAATGCTTATTGCGATTTATTGGATGGGAGGTGAGCTTCAATATTACATCCATTGACTGAAAACAGGGTAGACTAATCGATTGGATTTAAGAATCGATATCGTTTCGTAAAAATGAGAATCGATTAAAATTGAGATATCGATATTTTTTTACCCAGCCCTACTAAAATGTCATTCAACCAAGATATTTTTTCCATTTATTTATAGTATTTTGTTGTGCAGCGTCTTATTTGATAAAAAATAAAAATGCGGTGTTTTGTTGTAAATTAAATTGTTGAAGTTTTATTAACTCATTTAATTAGACTTTTTATTATAAAGTTGTATTGAATCATAAAACACAGAATCCAGAAAAAAATGAATGGAAAACATAGAATTTCGGGCAAAATAAAACAAATTTCATAGGGCCATAAATTACAAGGTAGCTACTCTGTAGAGTTTAATTGTGAACAAACAAGTGTGTTTACATTCATTTCCTTCGCCATTAATGGTAAATTAATATTGTGCTAAATATTGATATTGTGTGATATGGAAAAAATATTGTAATATTATTTTTGGCCATATCACCCAGCCCTAGTTGCGACGCACTGAACACAAACTGTGCCGACTAATGATGCAAGAAGGCTTTATGTGTTGTGTACATCTCATCTGATTTCTTCTCCAAGGAATCTATTAAAGAGAAACACAATCAAAGACTGCATCTCTTCCTTTATCTCCACAGGTTCCAGAGATCCAATACTTTGGCGCCAGCGCCCTTCACACCAAGATTTCCCGCTACTGGGGCGACATCCCCGCCGAGCAGTACGATACGCTCAAAAAGCAGCTGTTTTCTCAGATCGCTCGCTTCGCCTCCGGCTCTAAGATCGTCCTGACCCGCCTGTGTGTGGCGCTGGCGTCCCTCGCCCTCAACATGATGCCCGAGGTGTGGCCGGGGGCCGTGTCAGAGATGGTGCACATGTTTCAGGAGGAAGGAGGCGAGGTGGATGGACGCGCAAGATGTTTGGCCCTGTTGGAGCTCCTCACGGTTCTCCCGGAGGAGTTCCAGACCAGCCGGCTGCCGCAGTACCGAAAGGGAGAGGTGCGGGGTGCTCTGGGCCGCGAGTGGACGGCTGTTTACCCGCTCCTGCAGCAGCTGTTACGGCAGCCGGACTCTCCGCCGCTGGTGAAGGCCCGTGTGCTCAAGTGTCTGTCGAGCTGGGTTCTGCTGGACGTTCCTCTGAACGAGAGCGAGGGATTGGTCGAGGCCAGTTTCACGGCGCTGTCGGATCCGGAGCTGTTCGATACGGCTGTGGAGGCCATCGTCAACACCATCTCACAGCCCGACTCACAGAGGTCAGCATTTAGCACTGCAGTACTCATGCAATGGGGCAGAAAAGCAATGAAGTGAGAGAGAAACTGAGCTGTTTGAAAATATACAAAACCAGTTGAGGTTAAACATCTACAAAACACCAGGCAGGGTCCAAATTTAATGTTTCACCTATTTAGCCATGGCTAGTGAATTGAGAAAATGTACCCGCCATAAATATTTTCCACTGGCCAAGGAACTGTATTTTGCATTATTTTCTTAATATGGCTGAAATCACACAAAGTCTGTTAAGTAAATGTCCTGGACATCACATTTCACCCCAAAATCAAAAGAAATAAAAAAAATGGTATTTCGCTTGAAGAAAATGGAAGGGAAATTTTTTTTTTTTTT